GTTGTATAAAGGTCACTGACCTTTGACCATAAATATTTAGTCAACGCATCTACTAGAAGGCGGTTAAATGTTTCCATAAATGTTGAACCCAAATCTAAGTGTAGACACAATTTTCGTGCTTTGAGACCAAGTAGTTGAGGATTTATGACCCGGAACTTGCTATATAAAGGCTATACTGACCTTTGACACTGAATATTTGGTCAACGCAGCTACTCTAAGGCGTTAAAAGTTTCTCATAATTGAGGAGTTATGACCATCATATGTTGTATAAAGGTCATTGACCTTTGACCCTGAATATTATTTGGTCAACGCAGCTACTAGAAGGTGGCAAAAAAATTTGAATAAATGTTGATCCCAAAAACCTAGGTGTAGCCACTATTTTTGTGCATCTAGGTGAACTGCTTGAGGAGTTATGACGATCATGTTGTAAAAGGTCACTGACCTTTGACCCTAAATTTTTAGTCAACACCGCTACTAGAAGGCGGTAAAAATGTTTCCATAAATGTTGACCCCAACAATCTAAGTGTAGACACAATTTTCGTGCTTTGAGACATGCTATATAAAAGCTATTCTGACCTTTGACCCTGAATATTTGGTCAACACAGCTACTATAAGGCGTCAAAAATTTCCCATAATTGTTGTCCCGAAAAATCTCAGTGTAGGCACTATTTTTGTGCTTTTAGAGCAAGTAGTTGAAGAGTTACAACCTGGAACGTGTTGCATACAGGAAATTGACCTTTGACCCTGATTATTTTGTAAATGCAACTATAAAGAGGTGGCAAAAATTTCTTCATGACTTTTCAAATATATAGGCCTACAAGAATATGCAAACTGTCCTTTTATTTGAGTTTGTTTAAGGTTAAATAGGATTTTTGTCACATTTAGCCTGTACTATAGGCCCTCTAACGGTTAATGATTCTGTCCTTAAAGATTCTTTTGATGCTGCTGACCGCATTAAAGCTATACCAAACAATTTATATAATTTAGGCTACTGATTGTCACTTTTGATGTTGAATCTCTGTTTACAACTGTTCCCCTAATTAATAAACTTCTTGATAGGGTTTACAATAAGAAACTGATATCTAGTAACCAACCCATCCATGCCCAACTTTTTTTCTTTTTTTTTAAAAACTTTTTTAGTGACATAAAAATAATTAAATATAATTTTTTCTGTTAGAGTAATACAAATTTCTTTGATAAGAATTGAAAGATAATAAAATGTTTTTCCTAAATAAGTGGTTATATAGTGTTGTGAAATTTTTAAAATAAAAAAAAAAGTAATTATTTAAATAATTTTTTAGGCCCTGTTTATCAA